CTGCGGTGGCCCCGCAGGATGCAGCCTGGGAGGCTGTTGGGGGAACTGAATCACCTTCATACCGCAGGAGACTCACCTGGTGGAGGGACACCCTCGCCGTGGCTGCAGCAACCACCTTTGCTATTGACCCTGCCAGGACAGCTTCAAGTTTAGTGCATTATAATCGATAATGGGAATAAGGCAAAAAAGCAAATGTGGAACCATCTCACCAGCTTCTCACTGCTCACAACCCTGGTTGCTGCTGGAGTTGAGACAAGGGCCCTACATTTCTGAAAATGAGAGCTTTCAGGCCTGCCCATGCATGGTGGCAGCCCTGTGCAGGCAAGGCCACAGCTGATGCGCAGCTCTCCGTAGCCATGCCAAGTCCACCCTAGACAGGCCGTGAGGATACCTAGGGCAGACGGGAATAACCTCCTCCACCGTCCACCCACCAGACAGTTAGGCCAGGCACTTGTTTTCTTTTGGGGCAGTTTTGGTGACCCTCCCTCGCAGGGACACTTGCTCAGCCAAGGCTGGTTTCCCAGCCCCTCCATGAATCACTGCCAGTAGTTTCTAAGAATTAAAAAGTAGTTTAAATATTTCACGTGCGAAAGTTATTCAGCACTGGAATTGATGGCAGGAGAAGGGAGTTCTTTGATTGTCATGAAGCACTTTCCCTTCTCCTGCCAGGGTGTAGAGCTGTTGTATCTCCCTGGCAAACATGTATTAAGAGCATGTTTTTGCCTTGGGGACAGTTGTCACTGTCTCAGGGACAGTACACATTTCCAATTAATAATGCATAACGTCTAGCTGTGCTATTAATAATCACTGGTCCATCTTGCATATTGCTTACTGGGCAAAGAAATGGTAGGTCCTTCTCCTTTGCCCTGCCAGCCTCCAAAGATCTGCAGAGTGCTTCCCAAAGGTGTTACTAATATACACAAGAAACACTAGCACCCAAGGTGCTAGTCCAGTGTAATAGATGAGGAATTGCTCCCAGATATTTAGAAACCTCAGGTTGGCCCTTAGTCGCACCTCACGCTGTTCCTGCCCACAGCAGCCGCTTTCCTTGGCAGGGTCAGGCTGGGCGTAAGATTACTACAAAAACAAACAAGAAAAGTCCAACCCTGGACATTGCTGTGATGTGTAATAGCTCTCACTCACTTTCCACGACTGAGGAAAAGACACCTTTCCCTCGCCTTAGATAACAGCCTTTTCCCCAGTTACATACTAAGAGAAACCTGGAGAAAATGGTTCCAGTTTCATGGATAAATCCTGGGCTAGGTGTGTTGGATGTTTAGCTAGAGCGGAACCTGTAGTTTGAAGCAATTTCTTCTGTTTTGCAGTTTTGGGGAGGATAAAGAAAGTGTGAAGGCTGGTTTGGGAGAATCAGGGAGGGCAGAGCCCTAGGGAAAGGCAATCAAGGCTCACTGAGTGTTCTCATTGCTGCCTTTCTCTCCTGTTCCCTTCACCCAGATGGCTCCTTCCCGATGAGCCAGCGCATCTTCCCACCATCCTTCTGGAACAGCACGTACCAGCCCTCATCGGTCTCAGCCACCCTGAGCAGCCCCCTGGCCGCTGCTGCTCACAGCGAGCTGCCCTTCGCCGCCACCGCAGACCCCTACGCACCTGCCTCCCTGCACAGTCACCTGCACCAGGGTGGCCCCGAGCCCTGGCACCATGCTCACCACCACCACCACCAGCACCACCACCACCCCTACATCGGCACACAGAGCACCGCCTACCCCCGCCCTACAGCTGTGCATGAGGTCTACGGGCCCCACTTTGACCCCCGCTATGGCTCCCTCCTGGGGCCCACCCCCCCGGCTCACCCCTGCCTCTGTGCCCACGCCGGTCAGCCCCCCCTGTGAACTGGGCAAGAGCGAGGCGGGAGCTGCTGCAGCCTGGACGACACCAGGACCCTTCCCCAATGCAGCAGGGGAAATGGCACAGAGCCTCAGCCTCAATGTGGACACAGGTAAAGAGGTTCCCTCGGTCCCTTTGAGTCTACCGGCTCAGTTGCACCCTGCCTCCACACCATCTATATTAGTAGGGAAGCTGGGTGCTGCTGTGGGGGAATAAACTGGGGATATTAAGCCCAGAGATACCTGAGGTCTGCACAGAATGCTCTTCTTGGGCAGCTCAGGCCAGGCAAGTGAGGAAGGGCAGAGTGAGGATGAGATAGGGTAATGCACCACCCCGCCCTCCCCAGTACCCTTTGAATTTCTGGCACCCACAAACATGCCTTGAAGATACAGGTTGCTCTGAGGTACTCTTGTCCGGGTCCTGGCCCTGCTCTTGCCCGGAGCAGCAAGAGCTGGGAGCAGGACTGAGCTGCCCAAAGTATCACCCTTCATGGTCAGGAGTGAGGGCAGCCAAAGCAGAGCTGTGGTAATTTCTAGACCCTGCACAGGTTCATGAACTACCTCCTCACCTTATTTATTTTGTCCTTGCAGTTTCTGAGAGAAAAGCAGAATTGATTTGGCTGAGCAAAAAGGGCGATGGTATTCCTCTGGTAGTGGTACCCTGTGCCTGGTGGGATGCCTGGAAATAAGGCTGTGTGCCCATAGTGGTGACAAAAATGTGACACAGGCATAGCTAGCTATGGCAGTTCCAAAGTCAGTGGCTGTAGAGGCAAGGAAAGTCCACTCTGGCGACAGTTCTCCATGCTGAAGTTGGGTTAACACAGCCACAAACAGCTCCTTATCGTGGCCTCACTTCAGGCAGGAGAGACATGTCTCCAGTCTAGGTCAGGCTCTTCTCCTTACCCCTCAGCCTCCCAGGGCTCTGGGGAGCCCAGGCTCTAGACGGATTCTCTGATCTCAGCTGGCAGAAATGCAGTTTGTCTTTCTCTGTCCTTAAATGCCTGTACCTATTTTTCTTCTCTCCCTTTTTTTCTTCTCTCCGTTCTCAGGTTTGCAGCCTCAGGACAAAAGCAAGGATCTATACTGGTTTTAGAGCTGTCCTTCACTCTTCTTCCCCTGGCTCTCCCCTGTAGATCTCTGCCTGTATAGACATGGTGGCATTCACAGCTGAAATCGGGTCAGTTTGTAACAGCTTCTGATCTTGGTTTGCAGCTCGCCGTTACTCCTTCTGTGGTGGATCCCTTCTGAGCTGATGCGCTGACACAAAGACTCTCAAATCCCCCTTGCGCTTTTCCAAGCCCACCGTGGCCCTGCAGCCCTTGGAAAGATAACGGGACTTAAAAGGGCCTGGCATTGCAACAATGGTACTTTGGACTTGTTCCGGAGAGGAAGATCCTTCGGTGGCAAGAGGAGAGCCAAAGACATTGAGCTTCTATTTAAGCAGAACTACACCCAGAACTACAGTCAGACTACTCTAAAAGAGTCAAATGATGTCATGCATGGCGATGCAAAACCACTGGCCTTCGTACAGGGGGCAGAGGAAATCATGGGGGGGTTTTTTAGTGGTGTGAATATTTTTTTGTGGCAGTGGAAATGATTTCTCAGACACAGACATGGAAAAGCCACTCAGCAATTTTGAACTGAGTTTTTACTTCACATCATAGAAAAGTTAAAGGAGAAGAAACTGGAACTCATGAACATTTTCGGACTATCAAGGAACTGGTCAGATCTTTCAGTTTTGCGTTTGTGAGTGGCAAGTGTCTGGCTGGGGCCACCTGCCCTCTGCTTGCAGTGATGCAGCTGTTCCACGCACAACTGCTCAAACCCCAGAAAGACAAAAAGCAAGGTGGCACTTCTCAGAGTCTAGCACAACACTTGTGTTGGATATATCAATCACAGTTGTTTGGTTGTGGGCTTTTTTGTTTTGGTTTTTTGGTGTTCTTCTTTGCTTCAAGAGACATTTTCTGGTGAAAGTAAAACCCTCTTAAAGCAGGGGAGGGAAGGAAACCCATGAAGAACAGCTTGCCCTCAACCCCCAACAGCCTTTTAGGGCAACACCAGAAGGAAAGGCACATGATGGACGATAGGTCTGAGTTGCCTCTAATATTTCTCTTTGTCTATTTGTTGCTGTCATTTTGTCACTTTAATAGTTGTTTTGTTTTGTTTTGTTTTTTTGAAAGGGGGAATAAGGTATCTATTTAACAGTAGGAAAGCTGCATTAAAGGTACCTCCTTCTTTCACCCTGTGTGATTTTATGAAGAATTAAAGCTAAATAAGAGAAATTAAGTAAACCGAAAACATCAGGATGAAATAGGAAAAATACCTGCCGTGTGGATGAAGTGAGTTATTTTACTACTTTGCATTAAAGATAAATAGAAATACTAGCAGTTGAAAATATTTTCTTAGCGAGTAAAAAATACAGCAATAAGTACAAAAGATAAGAAAACGCAAGATTGTTTTGGCCTTACATTTTAGTGTACAATGTATCTCCAAGATGGGTTGAAGTAAAAGGGACTGTTCCATAATAACAGATGTTTCTTCATGAAGCTGATAGAAGAGGGAAATGTAGCATTTACCATTGCTATCGCACTGATAAATTAAAATGCTGTTACACGATGATGTTATAGCTAATGGAACAGTGCAATATCCCCCTATGCTTCAAAGCTGACTTTTTAATAGGCAAAACATCTGATCACAAGGCCACTGTGTTTTGGAGGGTTTTTTCTGTTTTTTCTTAGTGTAACATTTTCAAAGGCTGACAAAGTTCAATGCATGTAAGAGGAGAGTTCCAACATTACCCTCTGACACTAGGAGAAGGAGTAGAAAATGGACTTTTGTGCTGTGATGAGAGTTTTTACCTTCTGACACTCTCACATAACCTGGCATAATGGTCACCATGTGTCAGAAATGGAGTTATGAATAACTCCAACTAGCTTCTCTTAGGTTTCAACTCAGCAATAACTCAATTTCCAGGAAAAAATAAGAATCCTAATAGTAAGAGTACAATGAAGATGTGTGTGTAAATATTGTGATAAGCTGGCAATGTGTGCAGAGCATCCCCGGCAAGAGCTCAGCAAATGGCAGGAGGTGACTTGCTGTGATTCCTCCAGCCAGACATAACCCCTGAACATTTTGCCCTCAGCCTCCAAGTAGCCAGAGCCCAGAGCCCAGCCTTGTAAAGGGCAAGGGAAGGACTACAGAATTTACATTACCAGTTAAACCAAAAATGTTCTGAGGCATCTATCAAGAAAGAAGGCAACAGCACTTTGCAGGAGAAAGGTAACTAAAAATGGCATTTAACTTTATTGCTGCAGAGGCTTGGAGATAACAGGATCATTCTGTGAGCATTTGCCTGAGGGGTTTTTAGGATGTTTTTAAAATAGGGGTTTTTAAAGATTAATCTGGCTCTATTATTGCTTGTGCTTTACCACGATTGTTTCTTTTTTCTTCCTTTTTTTTCCACCTCCCCTGTGCAATTCATAACAAGGAGGACTGGACAATACAGCCAAAATATGTTTGGAAATATTAATGTGAGCACAAACCAGTCATTTAGTTCATTGGCATTTACAATTCATTTTGACTGTGAATGTTTTCAAGCATGAGAATTTATGCAATGAATACACGAATATTGGTTTTGACATTTGTTCTCCAGGGACTCTTTTTTGCTGTTGTATTGTGAAAGCACCCAAATGCCAAAGTCAAAATCGTGGCTTAAGGTGTTAGATGTGCAAGTGAATTTTTAAAATGCTCCTAGTCCAGACGGACTACAGTCTGAACACACATACACCTTATTCTGTCTAATTCTTGCAGAATTTTGCTCACTCTCTGTTATTCTGATGCCAGGGGGACTGCTCACTCACAGCACCTACCATTACAGCTTGTCCATGAGTCTTAGCAGGACTGGAGCCACAGCTCCTACTGCAGTAACAGTGCAAATAACCTCAGTGCCATTTTTGGAAGTCTGTTATATTCCTCCCTGCATTATAGGTTATTACTTGCTTAATCATGAATGCTTGCAGGAAATCTGGAAATACAAAAGAAATCCTTCTTATATGTTACCTGTGTCTTACCTGTCCCATGCTTGTCACACAGGGAAAAGGCAGAGCTGTGAGTCCTCAGTCCTCCAGCTTGAGGAGCAGATCCTCCTGATGCCCCCTTCCGAGTGTCGTGCAGAGGTCAGCACCAGCTTGTGCCCTCTAACTACTCACTACTACTGACAAACAGACAAGCCCAGCTGGCTGGTTGGATGAACAAACACAGCTCTCAATCTGTTCATGCAGAGTCCAGGGAAAGAAGCAGAGGGATGTGATCTGCAGAGCATGGCAGTAGTGGGCATTGCAAGAGTATCCGCTGCTGCCAAGTAAGGGCAGTTTGTAGGAGTTTGCAGGAGTTTGCAAAGTGAACTCTGGGCATGTTCACTGCAGATGGTTCTTTCCCATTGTGAAAATAACCGAAAATTAACAGAGCACGAATACCATTTTAATGAATGCTGAGGTTACCAGTGATCCATCAAGGGAAGGATGGAAGTGGGGATGGGACATAGTATTTGTGGCCTCAGTTTCCACTTCATTTTAATGAGGGTTTTGCTTCAGTATAGCTGCTAGTGCAAGAATGCATCACAGAGCTCTTGGATAAGTGTATATATGTGCCTCTGTAGTTCCAGTCTAATCTTGAAGAGCTTTAGAGCAACACTGCTTACTTCCAACCTCCTTTTCCAGTGCATTTTCCATAGGATTCCCCAGCAAAGGAGAAGGAAAAGAGACAAGGAGGGTGAAAGAGAGCCTGAGTAATCCCCAGCGCCTCCCCCAGACTGTGTGCTGCCCATCTCTGGGGAAATGTATCTGCCCTGTCTCCTCCTTGGGTCAGGAGGCACAGCAGTCCCTTCTCGCCTTCCCTTTGAAGTCCTATTTGGGTTCATGACAAGCTCTAGCAAGGGCTTAAAGGTTGGTCCCTTCCTGGAAGGGAGGAAAATGCTGCTGATGGCTTTGGATGCAATAGGGTACTCTGACTGGCAGATCTCATGCATCTTTTTCTGGGCAAGGGTTGTAATTAACGTGCCCTTTTGATTACAGAAGGGTGAGCGAGCTCCTCTGGGGGATTGTGGTGTCCTGGCTGGCTTCCCTGGCCTGCCACCCACAGGAGCAGTTGCAGCAGGCAAAGAAGAGAGACTTAAGTGGTGATTATTTGGAGGAGTGAGGTATTCATTTTATAAACTAGGTAACTTTGCACAGGGAAATGGGAGTAGGAGATCATTAGAAGAAAAATAAAAAAGGGAAAAAAAAGAAAAATGAAAATAAAAAAGGGAAAAAAAGAGAGAAGTAAAAAAATAAATAAAAATGGAATTTAAAAAAATAAAAGAAAAAGCTTTACTTCAGTCAGTCTTCAAGCTTTGGGGCTACAGCTGTGGGAACTGTGGTGTTATTTTTGCTCCCAGCATGGTAAGACTGTTCTCTAAACTGACTGTACTGACAAGCAGCTCAGGCTAGCAGGGTTCCCCTCTTCATGCCCATCTCAAATCATACTGGAGAAGTTACTTTTGCAGTGCACCTTTTACTGCCTCCTTAACCAGGCATAATCTGTGAATAACGTGCATCAAACCTCTGCGTGCAAATGGAGTAATGGAGAGGCACTAGGGTGCCATGTTCCTGTCCTGCTACTGCTGACATCCCTCCCTCAGGTCCTGCGGGACAAGAGGAAGGCACTTGAGGAGCCTGGGCACGGTGCAGGGATGCAGGGTGCAGGGGTGCACACCCCTGGGCCTCATTCTCATGCATAGGCAGCTCCCTTTGCCATGCTTGGTTGCAGCCCACAGAACCACAGGCTGACCAAGGACTGGATCATTTCTTTAGGGATGTGCCAGTTACTGATTTACACTCATGGTAAAGGCACTTTAAATACCTATCAGGATCTGTCCTCAGCCTTGACTCTGCATCTCATCCCCAATCTGTTCTCCTGCCTCGCCCTGTCTCTTCCCTCCTGCACTTAGTACTCTGGCCCCACACTGCAACTGTGAGGAGCAAAGAGCAGTATTAGGAGGGACAGAGACTTTCCTATCGATGCTGTTTATGTGGAGTTGAAGCATCAGTATTTCTATGATAAATGGAATTGGACAAACACAGATCCTCTCTGGAAGACCTAGCCCACTGGCCTCAATCCTGCACCATATGTCTGTGGTAGGAACCAAGCCCTAATCCCCAATACGGTGGAACAACCCTGATTTTCCACAGGCCAAGTCCCAAAGAACTGTGACAGC